CTACTGGGCAGGCTTCCTCCATCGACCTCCCATCAGGAATCAATCCGGAGCAAGGTTGGAAATTGGAGTCCATTTGTGCAGTAAATGGCAGAGCAGTGGCGGCACCTCGCAATGCTGAGAAGGTTTTGGTCGCAGAACTTCCTCGGTCCTCCACCTTGGATGTTCAGCTGGAGGCCAGCTGTGTCCACCACGCCCCTGAGTTTCCTGAATTTGTGGCGGCTGTGCTTAGCAAATGGATCTATTCCGATGATTTGGAGCCGCCTTGCACCATCCCTAACACAAGCCTCGCAGTTCACCAAGTGATTCAGCCTGGAGATTTGGGTGCAGCTTTGAAGATGGCAACTGTCACTGCGACTTTGCCAACTGAAAGGGTGCTATTCGTGATATTCAAGGGCACTTCGTACATCTTGGACTTTCTCAACTGGAACCTTGAACTTGATCACTCGATCACCGGAGACAAGGACTTTTTCGCCCATAGTGGTGCGGCAGGCACACTGCGGAAAGCTCATTTTTGGAAGAGCAGTGCATTCGCAGAAAGGTTGAGATCTGCAAGAGCCAATGGCGTGCGGAAGGTGGTGTTTACTGGTCATTCGCTGGGTGGGATGTATGCCCAGATGTCGCTGTATTTGGCTTGGAAGAGTCTCAAAGGCCCTCCATCGGACGAAAGGGAGGTTCTGGAATCCTTCGACCTGAGATGCTGCGTCTTCGGCTCGCCGATGGTTTTTGGTGGTTCCTCGCAGCAGGCCAAAGAGTTTCGCACCTTTGTCGGGCAGTGTGCCTGCAACTACATCCATGCCGATGATCCATGTGCCCGCGCCTGGAGTGCCATCAACCTCCAACAATTTGTGCGGCAAGCCTCACTAGCGGCACGGAAGGGATTGACAAATGAGCTGGGAAGTGTCAAGGGGTCCGTGGTTTCTAGGGTCGTGGAGGGGATGGTAAGCAGGGTGATGAACCGACCTGACTTCTATGTCATCGAAGACTTCGCACGAAAATACGAGCACTTTGTACCGTTGAAGGTGTTGAGCAGAAAGTTGCAGTTTGCTCGCTGGAAGGAATTCAATCTGAATTCAGAATGTTTCAAGGACCACTACATGGAGAACTATGTCGACAAACTTTTTGATGCATTAGATGACAGTCGACCGGAATGCTACATTCATAGCATCATGCCTTGAGCTGGTTTCTGCCCTGCGGTGTGCAGACCTTCATTGTTCATTGTTTCTCTCCCAAGGCGGAATTGTCACAATTGTCTCAATTTTACTGGACACGGTGCAAACAATATGCAGGGAAAATGCAAAATGCTGAACCTGGCAGTCAAAGTCTTTTTCTGGGGTCAACCCGCTCATACATTACATAATCATGCATACTCCAAACCTCACGCGTTGCTGACTGGCATCATGGTGCATCATGCTGCATGCAACATGATCTGCCGTGTGAGCTGGCATAGGTTGAGATAAAGAGATTGACTGATATCGCTAATATGCCTTTTTCATGTGACACTGCATGACTATGTTTGTCCATGCAGGCAGGCCATGCAGGCCAGAGTTGCTCAGTCATAGCGAGAGTTAAGACCACGTTTTCCCCCGGAAATTTAGCGTCGGCATTAGTTTTGTGTTTGTGCTGGTCAGAGCAGCTCCCAGCCAGCGCGTTGTCCCTTGCTCCTTTTGATGCATTTTGACTGCTCAACGCCACTCAACACATCGTAGGTTGCAACACACTGCGTCTGTGTTAGGGCCAGATTGGAAATCATGCCACACGAGCCTTTGACTCTGGATGTTTTTATCCTTGTTCGTGTTACAGGAAGAGCAGCTGCACCTAATGCTTGACAAGTGGCTCAACGGACCCATCTTGGATCATAGCCAGCTTACTGCAGTCAAGTCGGGTTTAGTTGTTTTATATACTTTTTGGTAAGTAGGCCAATAGAGAGCGAGAGAGATACAGAGATCTAAAGGTCCAGCACCATCTTCAAGTGCCATGAATCCTTCCTGCCACCGCCTGCAATCCAACCAGGCTTGGTGCCAGCCCCAGCTGCTGCTGCGCTGTCAGCCTTTCGAAACCTCCTTGCGTCGGACATCCTCAGGGAGAGCATAAAACATGGGACCTGTGAAGTGACGTTTCTCGTGACTCGGCTTTATGATCATCAAGATTGGAATAATATGGAATAATTAGATTGGGTATGCTTGGCTTCAAGTTGATCCAGTCATGGAGCATTGTGATGCATTTTGGGACTTGATTTCTGTAGGATGACCCACCCGTGCTACAAAAAGGATCATGACCTCATTCAAATTGCCCATGGCATCCCATGACCATGCTATATCGGAACACTTATGAACATCCTCCCCCTCCATGGCAGGTTTCTGAGTGTCCTGACGTGTCTTGCTGGCCATAGATGGACAAAGCAGTGTCTTGACAAACTGAGTTTGACTGAAACCCCTAGGAGGGGTGAGGACGGTGAGTCAATTAAATCATAGCCATTGGGACGTTGGGACCTGTCAGTGTTCCCCTGGTTCCGCAGCACCTTGAGTTGCCATCAGCCCTGAATGAGCGTTGGCTCGAGACCCATCGACTACAGCAAGCCTTTCGAGCTGGGCCGAGCTTGCGGGATGAAGCAGCTTGGTGTTGGCCCAGGTGTGCCAGGTCAATTCACCGCCGCCGAGGATGAGTTCCGGAAGGGAAGCACCTCCCACCCCGCAAACTAGGCGGAAGCATTTCGTTTTTCCGTTTCGTGTGCCGGGCAAGCGTTCAGGCACCGGGTGGAAGGCTTTATTATAGAAGAGTTTGGCATGCGCCCGGATGAAGGTAGGCAAACAAATACAAATGGACAAGAAACGGTATAATTAGAAGGAGCATTCAGGAAACACAATGAACCCCACAAAACGCTTCCGCACAGTGAATGCATCCTGTCATCCAAGTTCTTGACAATGTGAAATCTGTTCGTCCCATTTCCCTTTCAAAAACTCTTGCCTAAACATCCTGAGGTCAGATGGTTGGGCTGCCAAGTGCCTCGCCGGCGCTGGCGTTGGCCTTTTGGCCGTGGCAGGCGTTCGTGCATACCTCAGGCGGAGGCCGGCCTTTAGACTCAGCTGCCTGAGACTACATGGGACTGACATGCCACCCAGGCGTGGCTAGGCCCTTGTGAGGCCTTCTTGGATTTGCCATACACTTCACTTACTTCCCAATAGTGGTGTGGCCAGGGTTCCAGTGATGAAGTGGAATCACGTGGAATCCACACATCTTTGGACCACAACTCCGAATGTCCAACTTTGAACTCTTTTTCTCTTCCCTGGGGTCTTGGAAGGGAGGGAGTCTCTTAGGTATAATGAACTTGTATCAATCAGCAACGCACCAAAAAAGAACACACCCCTTCACCCCCGCGCCAATCCTGCCGGATCCAACCTGGTCCTACGCGGCATCCTCTCACTACCCACGAGGCCCAAGGGCTACCGTCGCCCCACGTGGCGTGCACTGCCGGAGGGCGATCTCTTGCAGCAAGGCTTCAAGCTGAGCCGCGTCCCGGAGGACCGGCGCTGGCGCAAGACGGCGTTGTTTTTGTTTTTTTGCTGCGGGTGTTCTCAGAGTTGGAACTTTTATTACTTTTTATTGAATTTGTTTTGAACATGCTACTTGCGCGTGATTGGGGGCTTCGAAAAGCTTGCTGAGTGGAGAAACTGAGGCATCACGTTGAATTCGCAGGATTTGGATTTCATCGTCATTGGAAGTGGCATGGGCGGCCTGTGGCTCTCTGCTGCGCTCACAAAGTGTGGCTACAAAGTCTTGGTCCTGGAGCAGTTTCTGGGCGGTGATAAAGTTTATATATATATATATAGATAGATGAATATAGTGGCATTCCCTTTAGAAAGGCGGATTCCTAAATTCAGAATCCATGCCGGAAAGCACATGCTATCCTATAGACCATCCAGCATTCCAGGAAGCGTGACTGGCTTAGTGTGTGCGCATATTCCAGGAGTATGCTGTGTAATGTGTAAACACTTATAAGAATTATAAACTAAAGTTCAATCATTCACCAACATGTTGGCATCAAACTATATAACCCATTCCAAAACCATACATCTTTGCAACGTCACAATTGTCCAAAGAACGGGGTTTCTTAGCAATTCCGCAAAAATCGAAAGATCCCAACTGCTGCACCAGGGGGTGCCCGGTGCGGCAGTGGGGCAACACAACAGCGTGCGAGCCCAGGCACTACATCGCAGGGGGCTGCTGTCACGCCTTTAGCCAGAATGGTGTGGAGTTCACGCCAGGCCTGCGAGCCTCTCCCAGACATGGAAGAAGTCAACAAGTGCTGGTTGGAAGATGAATTGTTCAAGTTCAAATCTGGAACTCGATGGAACATAGCCACGTGGAATAGTTTGGAGGTGCAAGAGCTGGAACCAAGACCCACGAGACACACCGACGATTGGGATGGACCCAGCAACCAGGTGGAGAGAACCTATATAATTTATATAATTGACATCATGTTGGTGCCCAAATGACGAGGCCTCATATGTCCAGTTCTTGTCATCACACCCGTATTTGTACTGTATATATGTCTTCATTACCACCTTATTTACCACATATAAGCCGCCCTTTGAGCTTCTACTTGCCTACCGATTGGATAGGAAGTCCGGATTTTGACAGGTGCACGACCGGAATCTTGACGGCTGGCATTGGGACTGCGGCAGGTATTCACTATATCGGCGACATCGACATGGCCAAAGGATTGTTGGGAGCCGTTGGTGATCCCGAATTCCAGGCTGCTTTGGGCTTAAGGGGGTGGGCGAGATGCGGTTGCTGCAGCTGTTGGAGAATTGGGGAAGGGTTGGATTGTGCAAGAGGTTATGAGTGATCAAGATTATGAAAGAGGCACAGAGAGGCAAGACACCTCACCCATCCTCACCCCATGACAGGTTCAGAATCCGTTTTCAAGGGGTCGCAATATATTTTGATGTTGGTGCTTTAAGGCTGGGAACCCTCCAAACCAGGATTTGCTTGCCAAGGTGGTGTGTTAGGTTGCAAGAAACACCCATAACCTGCATCCCCACATCAACAAGCTGTCTCATTTTGCGAGGATTGGGACAAGCCGATCTAACCCCTTTCACTCAGGTTTTGCACACTTTGTTTCTCCTCGAGGGGTTGGTCCTGCCTTTCTATAAACGGGTCACGGGGTAACATATCACACGTTTTTGACAAGACAGAACACTGACCTGACTTACGGTACCCTACTATTTTCCTTATCTCACTTGACGCCTTAACTTGCGATCTGTTCCCAAATATCCCAACACGCCCTTGAGCATCGCCAGGCCGATTGGCACCAGCTGGGAGCTTCTGACGATGGCGGTCTCTACGACAAAGCTTTGTTTGGCGATCGGGAGCCCATCTTTTTGCGGCAGGCCTGGGACCTATGACCAGCACAGTCGCCCAGCTCCACAGATTAGAAACCTTGGCCCCGCAATCTTTTTGCGGACAATTCAGGAGAATTTCATCCCACCTTTGACCAACTTACCTAGAAGTGCAAGATGACTTTTCCACCTGGTTGTCCATGGCTTTCCTATTGAACATGGCGAAGTCTGATTTCCCCACGGGTTTTGCTGGTGCCCTCAGCCAGAGACGTGCTGCGACGCCAGGGTCGTGACGCGTGGTATGCTGAGATGTGCAAGCACATGCCTGGGAAGGTGGGCCCCGGGCCAGGTGTGCTCGCTGGGCCCAGATGTGAGCTGTGTCCTAAGAATCTCCCCGAAATGCGCCGGGCCTTGTGAATTGCCAGTTTTAGGCATCGATCGGAGAAGTGACTGGAATCGATCAGGTTGGAAGGAATCTTGAAAGGCACTGTTCATGGATGGCTTTGGTACCAGGGACATGTTTGTGAAGTGCGTGGACAGGGCAGGTGACCACCCGTGTTCCGTCCATTGCTGCCTTTTTCAGGGTTTCCTGTCAGATTTATCAGGATGCCCCAAGGTTCCACACACGTTTTCTCTCCAAATTGGGTTTGTTGTACCTGAGCTATTTCAGTTCGCATTAAACATTCGAGGTTTAGACCAGACAGGACATGGATGCGACGTCATACTACATCCTCAGCTCCTTTGACACACCATTTCCACACAACAAAAATGGGTTCACCAATTCTTCCCTTTCGCAACGGGAACGACTTCCGATCCAACGGTACGACTGCACTGCCCCACGACGTTAGGAGAAGCTGCTGAAAGGGTGGCTGGCTGCACTGGACGAGGCCGGCCACCGGCTTTGTGAGCGCGTGGACTCTCTGCAAAGCGCGATGGTACAGGTCAGCCAATGTCGTAACACACAACAAGTGATGGCAAACCTGTTACTTTGGGGTAGGTGGTTTGAACATGTGTATATTTAAGTTGTTTTTGTCCCAACAGTTGGAAGATGTTAGAAGTATGGTTCAATGATGTTCAATGGATGGCAGTGTTCAGAATCGTCCTTGTTAATCCCACTAGAGCACAGTGCACTCGGTGATGTAGCCCTGCCATATTCGTCGAGAAGAAGCAGCAGCAGACCGTTCTACTTGCAAATCAAGTGACCGCAATCTATCGAGTGCTCACTGGAAAGCTGCATGAGATCAGAGCACCCTGCTGGCAATGAATCACCTTCACAGATTCAACAACTAGATATTTTCGCTGGGAAATCATTCTAGTTTCTGCAACACTGTCACATCATGTCCTTCACAGGCGAGGAAGGCCTACATGCCCTTATTCTTTGCCAAAGCGTGGCAGCCCTGGACGCAGTGGTTCTGGCTTCGGCTCTGCTGCCGTGCTGGCTTGAAGTGGGCGGGCAAGACCGTGCACGAGGCCTGCACGCCTCGCAGGAGCGTGGGTCATCCACGGCCCTGGGGCCCTGGGGCCCTGGAGCTAGTGGTTCATCCTGTTGCGGTCTAGTGGGCCATGTTTTGTGCTTGTGGTTGGCAGCGTGTGGAAGAGTTGTAGGTGCGTCTTGAATTCATTGATGAGAGAATGAGGTATTGACACCAAATCGAACATGCGCTGTTTTCTGACCATCGAGAAAAGAGGAACTTTCAAAAGGCATTGGCCTTCATCAAGTTTGTTGCTGCGGAGGATGATGTTCATTGCTATGCCCCAGCTGTGGTGTTTTCGTCAGCTTTTTGCGGGTCACTGGAGGTCATCCAAGAACTGGGCGGAGATGAAGTGGACGAAGCGCTCTTGACGTTTCAATGCATGGACCATGGCGAGACACCCAGGAGAGCAATGTCTTGGATGTGTGGATTTCCTGGGGCAGTGGACCTGCCAACCATTGTTTCAAAACTGACAGCATTGGACAGCACTAAGATTCAGCACTAAATGTTTCTCACTGTTTCCCTTTGTGTGCCTGTTTGATCGTTTTGAGTCATTGCAACGTTTGCAAGAGGTTCCACAAAAGACTATCCAACATGCATACAATCCACCTTTTGCCACCAGACTGCCTTGAACCCTGCCTTGAGCACTGCCTCACTGCCTTGATTAGTGGTTTCAGGACTGCCTCCTTCCCGGTGCATGCCATGATTGTGTCTCACTATATGAATGGCGCCTGGTTCCCCAAGGGCGGTCCATTGTCTTTGGCCCGGACCTTGACCTCCACCATCTTCAAGGGTGGTGGTGCTGTGTTGGTGCGCGCGCCGGTGCAACAGATTCAGGCGGGCTGAAAAAAGCATGGCATGGTCACCGGAGTTCACTGGGAGATGTTGATTGGGATTCCTAACTTATGATGTTGAGATGAAATGGGATGAACATCCGAAGGAGGTTTTGATTACTGTGTATGTATATATATATACATATATTGGCGGGCAATTTGCCACAGAATGAAAACGCCAGCCACCTGCAGCAAACTGTCCAATGTTATGTCCAGAAAACCAACACACGCTCGTCAATAGCAATGCTAAAGGTCATTGGGAAGATGATGTTGAGTAACTATTTGATCTTTGACTTATATGTATATACTATATATAAATATATTCAAATAAACATACTATAGAACAATCATTGTATAACAGTTTTGCATGTGTAAATCAGTGTAATCGTTTAGATACACTCGGTAAGACAATCTTGGATGGAAGTCAATGATTGATCTCTAGAAGCCTGGAAGACTTTTGCTCAGCTTCCATGAGTGTTTGAGGGAGGGTGCTGGACCGTACCTCGTTGACTTCGGACATGTTCGATGACCTGCCGCGGTGCTTCGAAACCAACGACAGGTGACCAACGGCCGCGCCACTGGCGTCCAGATGAAGAAAAAAGATGTCGTGCTGAATTGTCGCAACTTGGTGGTGCTACAGTTCTGCCATGAGGGGTTCCAATTTCCAATCAGCAAAACTGGGTGGATGTAATGAACACAGCTGAGGGGCTTAAAAACAGTTGGACTTTCACACGTAAGTGTAGATCCAGCATGGGCAATTTCATTTCTCAGAGTGAGTGTGGTTGGATTGGAGGATCAGCCAGCCACGACCAGTCACCGTTTGTCTCAAAGTGGAGACACTTATGAACACTGTTTTTTGTC